GCGTCTCACAGGAGCTCTGTCCAAACCCGCCATCACGGAAGGGTCTCGCAGCAAGTGACTCTCTGTAAATCCGTCTCCTTCACTTTCCCTTTGGGATACTTAGCCTGTCTATTGTGTCAGAGAATGAATGAGTGAAGGCAAAAGCGATTCCACATTGAGGGGTAGACCAAATCAATAGCAATAATAACAAGAACAAATAGTAATAGAAAGTAAAAATAAACGATAAGGACATTTACTGAGCACCTGTATACCAGAGGCTTGCCACTAACCAAATGCCTCCCTCATATGGCTTATACAATTCACAGAGCTGAGGTGCATATCGGATATTATTAGCCTCATTTCAGATGAGCAAACACTTGCCCCATCATAACCCCGTAAGTGATTGAGCAGTGGGCAGGGCTTCAATGCACGAAGCTTCCCCCTGCGACTCTGACCCACCGTAGTGGCACGAGGGGGTGGAGACTCGGGGTCTGGCAGAAGGGTGCCAACAGCTTAGCGGGGTCTTCCGGGAGCATAAAGAAGCGCTGGGCTCCACTGTAAGCTGCACACTTGCCAGCTGCTTGGCAGTCTCAAAAGGTAACTTAGGGGGAGGATATTTCCTCGTCTTAGTGTATGAGATGTGATTGGAAAAGTGGTGAGTATTCAGCTTTTAAGCACTGTATCACTGTAAAAGACACTGCCGTTAATCTCCCTCAGAGTACCTCCCCCGAGTTTGAGCACACTTAGCCCTCCCTTCTTTGCGACTCCCTGAAGCAGTTCTGGGAGTCCTCTCTCATGAGTGTCTTCGATTGTCTTTAGTGGATTCCTTGATCCCGAATCCATTCAAAACATTGAGTTTTCATGGTCATTTTGACTTTGGGGAAGACCCAGAAGTTACACGGTGCAGATGGTGAATAGGGTGGATGAGGACACACGTCGTGTTTTTACAGGCCTGCCTCTCTGCTGGATGGTACAAGAATGATAGAATAAGTGTGTCTGAGTCTACAAGTATTTTGAGGGGAATTGGGACACTGTATCTTTTCACTGAAATAAGTTTTAAACATTGAACTTGCACCCTGTGTGTTTTGGTCATCGTTCGGTTTTATTAGAATGAAAGCCACCTGGTCCCAAAGTGTGCAGTGGCTGTGATGTGCCAGGGGCAGACAGTGGCTCCCCACAAATAACAGTCACCCCGTGGCCGAGCCGCTTCTGCCCGACAGCCGCACTGTGCTCTCAACAATGTGCCTTTGCCCACAGACACCCGGGCCCGGCGCTGCCACCGACAGTGCCCCTGAAAGGCGCCACTGTCCTCTGCCCAGAGTCGGCCTCACTGTTCAGAGCTCAGGGGCTGAGGCTCATGTCCAGAGAAGGGACAGTGGCATGCGCTCTACGCTTGTTGTTAGCATCGTTGTGGGGGACCCTGATACCAAAACCTTCAGTTCTGCGGTCCTCTGAATTGAGCTCCCAGGCCCTAACCCTCAAACCTGTGAATGCCTGCTTTCCCCTCCCTAGAATGCCACTTCCTCTGACGTGTCCCAGGACCCTGCCACTAGTCAGAATTGGGGTATCGATTTTTGCCGCCCAGCACTTAAAACCATGCCAATAAATACTTAACAATTGAAACAATGAATTATCTTGTGAAAATGAGTTAGAAATTGGGAGTGAGCTTCAGTGATTTTTGTGACCTGGAAGATGAAAGGGGAATAACTGTCCCAAAGGAACTTTCTTCAGATTCCAGTCACTCACAGAGCTCACAGGGTGGCACCAAGGATAGCACAGAACAGGTTCTCTGGGCGGTGTGGTTTCTGGGTATGGTGAGCTGGAGAGGCTTTACAAGATGTACTCAATGATTCAGAGAAATCACAGATCTGGGGTTAATGAGCAAAGGCCAGTATATTTTGAAAGTGTTTGCTTTGTGGCTTTCCTTATTTTTGGTCCTACGAATCACTGATGTCTTCCTCACGGGTATATGAAAAGCATCTAACTGATGTAATAAGTAGTCCACCAGCTCTATCTAGGACTGGATGGATTTTATACCCACAGGGAGTTTTTGCACAAAATTTTAACTAGTGTTCAAATTTCTACTGAAAATTAGATCTTGTGTGTTATGTCTGCCAGGATGCTTTGGGCTGCATATAATAGCAAAATTACAAATGGCTTATGTAGTAAGGAAGAATTATTATCTCAAAAGTAAGTGGTGATGTGGTGAGGTCCCTGAAAGTTTGGGTCAGTCATCTGCCCGGACACCGTCAGCCATTTTGTTCTCCCCGCTCCCTTGGGGTTGCAAGATGGCTGCTGGCTCTCAGACTGCACAGGGTAAACGTTGTGGAAACTTCCCCAGCCCCTAGCTGCCCTCTCACATCACATTGTCTAGAATTGGTTCTGTGCCCACCCTACAAAATCGCTGGTGAGGAAAACAGAAGTATCAAACTGGCCTGGATATTTAAGGTTTACTCATAACTAGAGATAAGATGACTTTCCTTAGAATCAAGTTGGAAGAGCCTTAGGATTCTTTCAGTATGAAGAAGGCGAAAGATCCTTGGCTCCTGAATGGGGAACCAGCTGTGCCTGCTTTGAATGCTCAGCAGAAACACAACCTCCATCTTCCCATGTTACCTTGCATAGCCACAAGTCAGAGTGTCCGCAGTGCAGTGCCTTAATTTGGTGATTTGGGCAAGTTTTCACATTAAAATTGAGAAAAGACAAAACAGAAAAGTTGGGTAAAAACGAAACACCTCCATTATCCTGCTTTACCAGTGAAATCCAACTCCCTGTCCCTAAGTTAGAACAATTGATTGACTGCAGAGTCTTAGTCAGATTTGTATCTCTGTGACAAACACCTGTGGTGAATCAACGTGTAAGGGGGAAATGTTTAATTTGGCTCGTATTTCACTCCATGGTTTCTTGGCCTTGTTTCTTTTGTTTGTTTGTTTGTTTGTTTTTGGTACCGGGGATCGAACTCGGGTCCTTGCGCTTGTGCAGCAGGTGGCGAAACCACTGAGCTAAATCCCCGGCCTTGGCCTTGTTTCTTTGGGCCTGTGGTGGCCCAGAGCATCAGTGCTCTGTTCATTCACAGCATGGTGGCTGGGAAGCAAAGAGAGAGGAAGGAGGCAGAGCCCCGAGATCCCTTTCACAGGCATTCCCTCAGTGACCCACTTCGCTTCTGCTAGGCCCGCTTCCCCGTAGCACCTCAGACTGGTGACCAGGCCTGCACCACGTGGCCTAGAGGTCCACTCAGGACCCGAACCATAGCGTTCCTCTAGAAGACGTTCATTTCAGATAAGAAAGAAAAAAGGAGCCAGCTGTGGAGTGAGCCAAAGCTCCCCACCCACAGAAAATTGCATTTCAAAGGCCCTGAGGCAGAAAACTGAAAACATCCAAAAGGGCTGGAATGTCTGGCACATGGTGAGCAGAAGGAAGGTGCCAAGGAGAGTGGAGATGGGGTGAATTTACAAGTTCTTCAGAGCCTTTCAGGTCCTGGTAAGAAATTAGGGGTTCCATTCTAGGAACGGGGGAACCACTGAAGTATTAAGCAGGATCCACTTAAGGTGACAATAGTAAGGTAAGGTAACAATAATGTTGTGTATTGAAAGGACAACAGTATTTCTTTGGGGGGAATACCGGGGATCAAACTCAGGACCTTGTGCTTGCCAGGCAGGCACTGTGCTGCTGAGCTATATACCCGGCCCTGCACCACTATTTCATGTAGAATTTACAGTTGTAGAGAAGCTATTTATAGAGTCCCAGTTTAACAGATGGTTGCCAAGACTTGAGCTTCACCACTTTGATTCTGTGCAAAGTTGACCAGTTGTTCTAGCTGGTGGACACATTTCGTGGACAAGTCAAGCTAGTGGGATGATTTATCCCAGGGAAACTCGTAAGATATTTTACATTAAGCAATGCCACTACGTTTTCTCTTGGAAGAGTAGAGGAAAGCTCCATTTCCCAAGTGGGTGAGGCTGCCCCTTAACTCCACAGTGGTTCACTCATTTATTTCTTCTTCTTTTTTTTTTTTTTTTTTTTTTTTTGGTACCAGGGATCATCACTCAGATATTTCTAAAATGACTTCTAGAAGTGATGCTGCTCTTTGGGCAGGCAGGGCCAGGTGAGCCCGTCTCCAGCACGGGGCTGGCCAGCGTTCCTTCCAAGGCTGCCTGTGGCTTGCGTTCTTGGGGTGCACGCTTACAAAGTTCTCTGCAGTGGAATCTGCTCGTGCTAGTCACCAAGTCCTTCACACTTCATTTGTATTCCTGAGCCAGCATGTACCAGAGCTAGCTCTATTGTTTTCTTAGCAGGAGATTGGGGTGGGAGGACCCATATATAGTACAAGGTTTACTTTGGGGGGAGTTCCCCATAGTTTCACCAGTCTTTCCCCTGGTCACCAGTATTTGTGGAGCCCCAAGCCTCTGTGGAGGCCAGCATGTTGGAAGGCAGCTTGAGCAGTGTCGGCCCATGGTTCTGGAGTGCACAGAGGTGAACATTTCCGAGAGGGGGCTTCCTGCCGGAGGTAGCACAGAGCTGAGCCTTAAGGCTTCAGTGAGAGAGGGTGTGGGTCCAGCTACAGGAGCCTAGTGCAAGGCCAAGGTGACCAGTCTAGATAAAGGAACAGCTGGCCTCAAGAGGTGAATGGATTTACAGGGAGGAGAGGAAAGCCATGGGCTTGGAGAGTGACAGGACAGAGGGCGGAACTGAGGTAGTTCCGAGTGGGCAGCTCCCCGGGGAAGAGTTAAGGTGGAACACAAGGCTCACAGGCCCTCAGGGTCCTGCCCTGGACCCGTCCCCTCCTCACAGCTCGCTCTGCTGAAGAGGGTGTCATGCGTGGTGTTCAAAACAGGCCACTGAGACCTGGGTTTCCTCTTGTTCACAGAACACGTAAAGATGCTTCAGTTAAATACGGATTACTGTGCTGCTTCTGTCCCTGTTGCTGGCCGATGGTCAGGCCCACTCTTCAAAGTGTGGTTCCCGCCGGAAGAGAAATCACTTTCCTAACTGTTGTTATCTTTTCTCTCTTTGCCATGAAGTATTTTCGGTGCTCTTCGAACTGGTGCTTACATGGTGTACATTCTGATGACCAAAGGCCTGAAGCAGTCAGTCTGTGACCAGGGTTTCTACATCGGGCCCGTCAGCAAGTTCTGGGCTTACGCGTTTGTGCTAAGCAAAGCGCCAGAACTAGGTGAGTGTCCCCGCCTCCCACCTGCTCTCCTCTCTACCACCACTCAGTGTGCGTTTAAAAACACGTAAAGCCACAGTTTGAGGGTCTTCCTTCCTGTGTCGGTTGCAGGAAGTTGTAATGAATGAACTTAGGGTTGGCCCTTTCTTTTTCTCCCTCCCAGCCTTTTAAATAACTGTACACTGTATGTATTAACAGCTGAGTCTACATAGAGCGTGCTGATTTCCAAGTGGTGCTACAGATGCACTACCAGGGGTTTATAAAATATACATGGCCCCTTTTCTAAGCTCCTTTAACAGCTGAGCTAATATTAGAGCAACCCAGCTATTTCCAAGTCCCATGTCTGAGCGTGCTTTCATCTTTAGAGCTGAGATTCGGATTAGCAAAGTAAGCTTTCGTTTGGGTGTCCTTATGTTCTCATTATCAAATGCTAATTGTGAATCTGTACTGTTTGATCTTAATCATCAATGATGCTGGCCCCAAGGAAAGGGAATGTAGTTCACCTTCTAAACATTAACAGAAAATTCTGACTGTATGAATCTGTAGATTTCTAGGGTTTTTCACAGCCCGTGTCACTGCAGGACGTGAATCCTCACTGGCATGTGGGTCAGCGGCCAAGCCACTTGGCCGTTGTGTGCCAGTAGCCTTGCTGCCTCTGGTAGCTGACAGTTGACTTGACAGTTGTCGTCCCAGTCAAAGATGAGAGCAGAGGAGCAGCACAAAGCTTTCCAAAATCTTTGGTGGCTGAGCATGGTGGCATACACCTATAATCCCAGAACTTGGGAGGCTGAGGTGGAAGGGTTGTCATGAGCTTGAGGAGCCTGCACTATATAGAGAGATACAAAGCCTTTGCTAAGAAGGGCAGTGGTCCAAAGAGGAACCCTCTACATTGTTCAGAATAACCAGATGACTTTGGTGTGGGGTATCACACATGGTATCTTTGGAAACAGTCTTGGAGTGAAATGCATTAATGCAGATTCATTTATTCAGTAAATTTATATATTTACATTAAGTATCTTCCATGGGCCAGGCAGTTAATCAGGCTAGAATAGAATGGGTACTTTACCTAAAGGAATTTTTTTGACCAGGCTTCCAGAAGCTACTTTTTCTATTTGTTTTGAGACCAATAGAGGCAAAGTCTTAGGCTAGAGAAATAATTTTCAAAGTTGGACCTACCAAAGTTCTTGAAAAGCTATGGATGTACCATTGTATCTTCTCCATTCGTATGAGGCGTTCTCACTGGAAGTATGGAGTACATGTCTTTAATCTGTTGAGAAGGTTCTGTTCTCCTTCTAGTCTCCTGATAGCTTTTACCATGAACAGCTGCAGAATTTAGTCCAGTACTTTTTCTCCAACTACTGACAGGATCATATGGCTTTTTCCTTTCCTCTGTTAAAATGATGACTTTTGGGGGTGGATCTTCCAATGCTGAACCAACACTGCCATCCCTATAACAAAACCACTTTCTACATCCTGCCAGATCTGCCTTCTAATAGTTTGTTCTGTTAAACAAATTTCTATCTATGTTCATACTTTTTTCTTCTATTATCTTTATCCAGTTTTAGGATTAGCACAATGTTGAATTCCTAAAAAGAGGGGAGAAGTGTTCCTTCTTTTTTCAGCTTTAAATGTTTGATATAATTTATCAGTTAAAATGTATATTAGCCTGCTGTTGTCATATAGGTAGTTTTTCAAGCTAGGAATATACTTTCTTTAATAGGTGCTATTCGAATTTTATATTTCCTCCAGAGTTAGTTTCATTAATTTGTCTTCCAAGGTACTTCTTAGAAGTTGTCGAATTTATTTCCAGAAAGATTTTTGTAACATGCTTTCTATATCCTTTTAAATTCTGTAAAATCTGTGGTAATGTCTCCTAGGTCTTGATATTGTAATTTAAAAAATGTATAATTGATATTGTGTAATAGGAAGTAAAGGTCTAAAGGAGCAGGGGAAGTGGGAGGGGTAGGGGAAAGGAAAAAAGGGAAAAGAAAAAATATGAGAAAAGGAAAAAAATGGAAACAAAGTCTGCAAATAGGGAAGGGTGGACGGACGGGATGAAGGCAGGGCAGGGAAAGGGGAAAAAATATAAGAACCAAGATACTCAAGTAATGATACAAGATTCCAATGATGAATGTTAACTGTATTTTATACCTAAAATGTACCAATAAAGTTAATGGAAGAAAAAAAAACAGAAAAGCTATGGATGTGCTTTCAGGGATTACTAATTATCTGAGAATATTGTCATTTTGTATTTTCACTTGTAGATAAAATAAGAGATTTTTCTTGCCAGGCATATTTCTTTTATAGTGACCTGTTTTTAAAAATTTAGATTCATGAGGTTTCTGAATCAAAATACTCATTCTCAAAGTTGGTCTGAGAGAGTGTGAGCTTATATTCTTTACTACTGGGATTTTGTGGCTTTTTCTTTAAATTCCTACATTACTAAAATTTGAGACTTCTTCAAGTGTAGAGCTATGCCCCAACTCTCCCTCATGCTGTATAGTAAGTGTGCTTACACGGAGAGCGCCCCGCCTCCATCTTTGTGACCCTGGGCCCACTACAGATAATGGAATGTCATAAATGCATAGAAGTTGCGACTTCTCTTCAATGCCAACCCTCAACACATTTCCACCTCTTAATACTTTCAACAAAATGTGTGTTACGTCAGACATAGTGTCTTATTCTGGCCCTCATGCCACTGTTGCAAAGAAACCTCCGAAGGCTTTCTCTGAAAGGGTTCCCCAGGTTGTGTCCTGTGCTCCGCCTAGCTCTGTCTGAGGGACTCGAGATTAAAATCAGTCCTGCCCACCTGTCTGCCTGAAGGGCCACCGAGGCCCTCCACAGTGGGGCTGGTCCCAGGTGCGAGCACCAGTCACCAGCGTTCACTCGGTCCAGGCCACCCACACCACTCCCCCACCCGTGGCAGGCGCAGCCGTCTTCCCCTTGAGCCCAGGCCCGTGTCTGGGGCCCACTGGTAGTGGTTTGCACAGGCACAAACCTTTTTCCCCTCAAGGCCCCTCCTCCAGTCGTTTGCAGTAGACAGTCCAGGAAGCCATCCCTTCATAGCTGCAACCTAGCACTGAGGCAGTGGCCGTGGGCAGAAATCTGGACAGTTCTCATACAGTTCCAGACTCGAAGCATTCTCATGTCCCGAGTACCTCTGTACATTTAGAAACCCGACATGCTGTTCTTCAGACAATTCTAGAGCTCGCCTGACAGTGGCCTCACAGAGGGAACCTGCTGAGCTGGCGCCCTGGTAAAACTCAGTGCGGGGCTCCAAGACCGCCCTTGCCAGGCACGTTTCCCTGGATGCTTCGCATGCATTTGGGGGCTAAATTCCTTCCCGGTGTCTGGTTGCTACCACTTAATTTAAAAGAGACTTAACCATTTAAATTACTCAGAACTGAAAAGCTCTTATGAGGAAAAAGGGACAGTTCTCCCACATATACACAACAGTGAAACTGTGCTATTCCCCCAAATCACAGCTGCACTTGCACTAAAGTTTTGTTTAAACTGCAGTAAAATGCACATATTTACGTCCTTGTGCAGCCATCACACTACCCATCTCCCGGACTGTCACTCTCCCCCAAGAGATACTCTATGCTTTAAACTGTTAGCTCCCCTGGTTTTTCACTGAGCTCTTAATGATGGCAAGAAGGGCTCTCTGTTTCCGCAGAAAACGGTGAGCTTGTTTCAGTAAATTTTAGGATTGCTCTCTCCAAGAACAAGGGAGAGGAAGAGGGCTCGCTGCCACGCTGCTTTGTGTGTCAGAGCTTTGCTGCCTGCTGCTGGAATGACATTAAAACCTGCTGAGACTTGCTTTTGTTAAAACTTGGAAACATCTGCTCCGGGACTAGATCCTTGCTCGGTCGAGCTTGTCATTGTTTTGAAAGTCTGGCTCACTGGCACTCCCGCTAACCGCCCAACCGTCTGTGGCCAGCCACACACTCAGAGCAGGCGCCCCGTGTCTCTTGGTGGCCCTGTGTGCCCTGGGGATTTCCTAGGACCGACAGACGCCCTGTGGATGCCGAGAGTCTGCATGCAACAGGCGCACAGGCAGAAGGCGTAGATCAGGAAGGGCACTGCAGCATGCACAAACCACACCCCAGCTGCAGCATGCCTCTGGACTGGAAATAGCTGGACCAGAGGTTAAATGAGCCGGTAACTCAGTCAGACCAGGAGGCAGGAGAACTCATGATGTGACTGAAAGCCCCATTGTTTGTGCTCGGCCGGGATGTGTCCCTCTGTGCCAGCTGGATATTTGACCCACATCAGACACACAGTCCCTAGGGTGCTCTACACTTCTGGCTCCCCCTGTAGCTTCTGGCGAGCCAGTGGATGCCGCAAGTTGGCACGCCGTGGGCTCCAGCTAACGTGATGGCAGCGGTTTCCCCACACAGACCTCCCTAGCTGTAGCTGCCAGAGCGGCAGAGACAGACACGTCGGCTGTGGTGTGGGGACCACGGGCGGCCTGGCTGCCCTTCCAGGAGCGATCGGTTTCCTCGCCTGAGGGAAACCGCCTTTCTCTGAGCCCACGGTCTCGGGGACAGGGGCCCAGGGCTGCTGGGCAATGCTCCTCTTCATTCTCCCATCTACCACCCTCATATTTGTTCCGAAAAAACCAAGTGGGTCCAGCTTAATTTTGCCTTCAGGATCTCAGGATCTTAGGACACACCCTGTCCCCTGTTGCTGCTCCCCTTGCCGAGCGACAACACTGGGGAGCCTCAGATGGAGGCTGGGCACCCACCCCACACCCACTCTGGAGAAGCACAGGGCAGTGCCCAGCACCACAGCTGTAGGTTCCACTTCTTCTGAAGAAGCCCGTTTTGCACTGTGCTGTTTAATAGAGGAGTGATGGCGGGGTTAAATAAATCTGAAGAATTAGGATGAAATGCTTATGAATTACTTCATGGCAAATAACTTTTATCACAACGCGTTTGAGCACTCACTGTACTGGATCTGCATGTTAGTTGATGCTCGGAGACTTGTGAAAGATCTAAGTTCTGAACGACTGCATTTGTTTCTAACATAAGCTCTGTGTGACTCCTGTCCACTGTGAACAACGGTAGGCTGGAATCACTGTCTGCATTTCCGTCTGCGGAGGGGAGGAGGTACAGGCTCCTCGGAAGTCGCGGGCCTCTGCTCGGCACGCCTAAATAGCCCAGTGTAACCCTAAGAGTAGGCCCCAGGCCTCTGGCAGCAGTGTGGGCAGCCCTGAAATGCACACTCAAGTGGCCGCAGCCATCTGTGTCCATCAGCCTGCTGACATGTGGATGGAAGGTTGGGCATCTCACAGGAGAGGAGAGGGTTCCAGTGGAAGTTTTAGAACAGGCACAGAGCTGTAACGATTGGCAGCTTTGCTGTTCTATCCTAAGCAAATAGGCAGTAATAATGTCTGATAATAATTCCCGGGAACGGAGGGCGGCCTGTGCGGTCCATGCTCAGTCAACCTTTCTCGTCTCCCTGAGGCCTGCTGCCCCTTCACCTTTCCTGCTGTCAGACTTGAGGCCATCCACGAAGCGACAGGTGAGCCAAGAACTGGCTCCCTTTGTGCTTACCAGATGTCAGAGTAGGGACAAGGATCAAAGCCACGTTTGAGCTCGGCATGGACTGTGAAGGATGTTGGTTTTCCCATGCCTGGTATCAAGAAGAGCTGGGAAGGGGCAAGAGGCATTCATTCCCCTGCGTGAAGTTGCTTCCAGTGTCGCATCCCTGTTGCTCTTCCTCGCTCGTGAAAATGGGTGAATTTGCTCCTGGGCTTTTTCTAGGTCCATTTTTACATAAATATCCTGTATCGTTCAGAATCGGGGAAGAAAATCCTTGCTGTTGTAGAGCATCCCCCCACCGGAGCGTAATTCTAGTTTGTATTATCTAAATTCCCAACCTCAGAAACAGTGGCCTGTTTCTTCACAGAAACATTGTTAGAAAAACTTCTGGTAGATCCTGGAGAGCTTTTTTTACACTTAATTTCTATAAATTGAAAGCTATTACTTTCTGTTTTTCCTCACTTGATTCATTGAGATTAAGTCACTCCCCCTCCTCTTCTCAGGAAATGTGTGTAGAGGATCATTTCTGTTCCCCCTTTTCCATCATTGTCTTCTGTTTAAATTTTCCTGTCTTATTGCCTAACTTTAAGAGCTTCAGATTTTATGGATATCACAAAGGTATGCATCTGAGGGGAACACTTTGTCAAGGCCTGAAGGAAAGTTATGGTTCTACAACTCGAGGCATGCTAAGAACGTTTTGCTGGGCACTTGACTTTGTGTTCCAGCCTGTTTAACTCACTTGATACCGGGGACTTGAGCTGATTCTTCAGTCCTTTTATTTTATTTTGGGACAGATTCTCCCTGCATTGCCCAAACTGGCATTAGACTTGTGATCATCCTGCCTCAGCCTTCTGAGTAGCTGGGATCACAGGAGTGGGGTTCACACCAGACTAGTCTCTCTGGCCTGGTAAATGACCTGAGACATGTTACCTGCCCCCTGGTATTTCCTAAGGTGTGCAGTTGCATTGAAAAGTGGGCAGTATCTCAAAGGTAGCATGTGTTGCTTGCTTACTATGTGTGGAGAGCATGCCGATTGTCCTTTTGACTCTTCAGCAGTCCGGGCCACTGTTGTTAATCACCCCTTTCATGGCTGAGGAACTAGAAAGCACCAGCACGGGAGGCACCTGACCCAGCATCGGAGAGTGAGAAGCACCAGTGCACGACTGCGGCCCACTCCACAGTCCCAGCTCCGGCTGTCCCCACCCTGACCACTCTCCTGGTGACCCAGGGCTCATCTGCCTCCTGTCCTTCCTTGTCTTGCAGGAGACACAATGTTCATCATTCTGAGGAAGCAGAAGCTGATCTTCCTGCACTGGTACCACCACATCACTGTGCTGCTGTACTCCTGGTACTCCTACAAGGACATGGTGGCCGGAGGGGGCTGGTTCATGACCATGAACTACGGCGTGCACGCTGTCATGTACTCCTACTACGCCTTGCGGGCCGCGGGCTTCCGGGTATCCCGGAAGTTCGCCATGTTCATCACCCTGTCCCAGATCACGCAGATGCTGATGGGTTGTGTCATTAACTACCTGGTCTTCTACTGGATGCAGCAGGACCAGTGTTACTCTCACTTCCAGAACATCTTCTGGTCCTCACTCATGTACCTCAGCTACCTTGTGCTCTTCTGCCATTTCTTCTTTGAGGCCTACATCGGCAAAATGAGGAAGACCGCCAAGGCTGAATAGTGCCGGAACTGAGGAGGAAGTCATAGCTCAGGGTCATCAAGAAAACTAACAGACAAAAGAAAATGGCACAAGGAATCACACATGGTGCAGCTAAAACAGAACAAAACATACGAGCAGACACAAACCCCGAGGCAGCTTAGGGATAATTAGGTTGACCTGACCCAGTAAGTTTATGATCCTTCATGGGTGAGGACTCACTGAGGGCACCCGATCTCAAAGCACGCTGCTGAAGACCCCGCTCCCATCCCTCACCCGTCAACTCCAGGACAAACCACAGCACCGTGCCGAAACAGAGCCACTCGTGGGAAGCAAAGTGCTAGCGCTCTGTGGGAAAACATGCACCTGCTCAGTGTTCGGGTTCTCCAAGACGGGATTTCACTTTAAAAGCTGTGCGTGCACACACACACACCCCTTTCTAATCCTTTTCAACACAAAACCGGAGCCAAAAGAAAAGATAGCAACGGAGAGACACAGGGTCTATATGTAGAACAATAATGCTTTTGCAGAAATTCACACCTTTTAAAGGAAGGTCAGCTATTGTAGCTCCCTGAGAGGTGTCTTAGTCATTTTTTATTTCATCCAGAAAGTAGATTGGTATTTCCCCCTCACTGCACAGCCTCAGGCTAGTAGTTTGCCAAAGCCACGTGGGCTACGATGCTTTTCCAGGGGCCTGGCAACACGGGTGCCCAGCCCCACGCTGTGTGCATTCCTGCCCCAGACGTGGATGGAAGAGCAGATGGGAAGTGAGCAGGATGCAGCCTCCAGAGGACCTGCACAGGAATCGTGCTGTCCACAGCCGGCTCCGCCTGGCCCCAAGCTGGAAGAGGCAGGCAGTGGGCCGAGATGCAGCAGACAGTACCTGTGCCCTCTCCTCTCTGACCACACGCTCTCAGCTCCAAATGCAGCCCTGTGGGACATTCCATGTTTTCTATACTTTTGCAAATTTCAAAAAGAAGTGTGCAGGGTTCTGCCTGAGTCGTGAACCACACTGTGTTCCTGCAGCGCCTGCCCGCCTCCCCAGCAGTGCAGAGGCCTTTGAAGTGCCCTCTGCTGGCTGAGTGAAGAGACGGCAACCACCACGCCCCAGCCCCTTGGGCTAAAGACAGGTGACAACCGAGAGCCCCAGAGACGAATCCTTCAAATTCTAAATGATAGCAGACACCCATCATCTCTCTGGTCAGATAAGAAGACATCCTTCCTGCTTCAAGGGAACTTCAAGAAAAAATTTTAAAAGGGACTTTTGCTCTGGAACTCAGAAAATCAATCTATTAAGAGCCATATTCTTAAAAAAAAAAAGCTAGATTATATTATCTATGATATTTCAGTCCTCCATAAGCCAAATAAATGTGTCAATGTTACTAGTATTTCAAAGAAGCAATTATGTAAAGTTGTTCAGTGTGACACAATAGCATTCTAATTGGTTAAGTAGCTTAATGATTAGGCAAACTAGATGAAGAGATTAGGGGCTACCTACACTACGTAGAGTACACATGTAGCCACATATATGCACACAGGTGGGATTCAGTGAACCCCAAAGCCCAAATGCATAGGAACACATATTCTGGCTAGCAGAAACTGTTGTTTATCTTTCTTGCTTTATTTTGAGAGTGTACAGTAAAAGGGATTTTTCAAATTATTTTTATATTATTTTAGCTTTAATTGTGCTGTCCTTTGTGAAACCCAGTGGCTCCACTTTTCTGTCCGAGACAGCAAGAGCTTCGTCAGCATCTTGTTTATTGTATGGAATTTAAAAAGAATAAAGTTTTATTCCATTCCATGTGAACAGCTTGAACCGTAAACAGAATCCATGCAAACCAGTGGAGACTCGAGAGCACAGAGGCAGCCTGCGAGGAGGGACCCGCCACCTCCAGGCCACGTGATCTGCAGTCGGCAGTGTCCCTGTGGGGTCCCTAGGGATGAACTGTTATGGGGCAAAATTTGGACCCGAGCTGCAGATGAGTCCTGCCACCACCAGCGGATTCTTAGGTTGCAGAGTTCCTTTGAGTTTTACAGATACCTGTTACTGTGCAATAAGCCTTTCCCCCTTAATTATGGGAAATGAACAGAGTAATTAAAATGAAGAAAAGGCCACATATCAGTTGGCTTGAGTTAATAGAGGGATCAGTTTGAGGCTTATCTGGTTGATTTAGTTTAATTATTTAATGCAGTGATTTATCATAGACTGCAGGGTAAAGCAAGGAGATCAGCATAAACTTTTTAAAAAGACTCCAAAGTGGTGCTTCCAGGGCTGGGAGTGTAGTCAGTGGCACAGTGCTGCCTGGCAAAACAGTGTTCCCAAGCACTTTCATGCTCGTGTTCATTTGTAAAGTGACTTAGAATTTTTTTTTACACATGGAATGTCTAATAGTTTTTAACCAGCTAACTATCTAAAGGCATTTCCAGTGTGTATCATGGGAGGAAAGAAAAAGAAGTCTAGTATTGTAGGTCCGTACACAGTTTTTAACATCTCAGCTTCACTGCTTTAATTATATGAAGATCAAGGCTGGCCCAGCTATGAGGCTGGCCCATGACCAATCCGAAACCTACCAGAGAGTTGACTGCCACACAGAGAACCCTGCTGTCAGGTAACATTCCAGAAAACTTGGGCAGGCAGGTTTTTATAGCTGCCCCACTATGCTGCAATAGATTGTCTATTAAAAATTTTCCTCTGCATTCCAGTCCCACTATGGTGAAAACATCATTCCTGGGTCAAGTACAAAATCCTTGATTTCCTGTATACATATATATATATATAAAATTTCATGCACTCTGAGCGTAAACAGAAATGCATGAGTTTGCAAAGAAATTCCAGTGAGAAATGCCCTCCTCATATAGCAGACGGTTTTATCTCGACCATCCAGTGTTGCTTAGGAGAAAAGAACAACTACTATTGTTATTTATTTATTGTATTTATATCCAGTGCTAGGCCAAAGTACTAAACTGAAATTGCAGATTAAGGTTACTATTCCAGGTAATTTATTCCCATTTTTTCTAATCATACACACTACAAACATGAGGTGTGGGGAAAATACATGCATATGTGTTGTGTGAGGAGAGATGCTCTCGTTACCTAGAGAGGCTTGTTCGGAAGCCTTGCAGATTTTTATAGAACTGAATGGAAGAACATTAGGAACCTAGGAAAACACTTCTTGGAAGGAGGCCCACAGATTGCCTTTTTCATCAGATGCAGTGTCTCAGTGGTAACACAGAGCCTATCGCCTCAAAGTAACAAAGCAGCCAGAGTCAGTTACACTGGAGTAGGAGATTCCAAAAGTCTGGTGTCTTCCCAGACTGCCGAGTTAGTGGGAGAGGTGAGGTGCTCAGGTTCCTTTCTGTTTCTGATAGAACAAGCTCTACTCAGACAATATATGTGTGTCCCAGGGAGTCAGCTGCAGCACATTCTGAAGGCTCTGTTTGCAGTTTGGACGATGATTCTTTAATGGCATTGCTGTGCTGGCCAGGCACAGATTTCAGGGAGCTGCTGGGAGGATGGAGAAGACCAAATGGACTCAGCCTCCCAGAGTTCCGAGCATTTTGAGTCACATGATCATGGCCCATGCTCTTTCGCTTACACACTTACTTCCCAGGAAGAGTTTCCACCCTGAAAAGTGACACAATACTGTGATGCAAGCCTGAACTTTCCAGCAGTCAAATGTACCTTTCTCCAGTCTTTTGGTCTTCGGTAATAAATATTTTGCTGTTGACTTGGAATGATGGTAGAGCCTATTCTGTGCGGTCCGTGTCTCCTACCGCTCTTCAGAAGTCTTCTGTCCCTTTTATATTTATATACAGCACCCAGTTCTGTGTGCCTCAGACTCATCGCCATAGGGAGGGACTTTGCTAAGAATGCCCCAGAGCATTTGACCTGACCTGTGTGTGCATGAAGGGACAGCTGGGGATGCAGGGGCGGACAGTCAGTATGAAGTGCTCAGTCTCAGCACTGGTGACAAAAGACGGGATGGTGTAGTCCCAGCACCTTGAAATCCCACAGTGACAGCCACGATCACAGATACCTGTGAGTCGTACAGCAGAATCAGTAGCTGAAGAGCCCAGTTTAGGGCCTCAGAGATCATTCCTGAGCCTGTTGAGTCATCAGATTACTTTCCTCTCTCAAAGTCTGAAAATGCAGGGCTCCTGGAAGAGAGGGCAAGCCTCTGGCCACCTCATGCTTGTTAGGCCTAACAGCTGTTGCTCTAGCAGCATGGGGGACAGGACAGCACATGCTCTCATGGGTGTGGGAAGGGCTCAGTGGCCGCACTTGATTTCAGGTCAGGCAGCGAAATCCCACAATCAGATCCTTATCACTGGAACTCCACACCACAGCTGCACTGTCGCACTCTTCCAGAAGCAGCTGGCTCAGCTACAGGAGCCAGTTCTGTAAGTCCGGGCAAGTGGCCTTGGCAGCCATGGGGACACCACTGCAAGGTCCCAATTTGGGTTGGTACTTAAGTGCTGCTTTCCTGAAGCTTGGTGCACTTGGGACTTTTCCTCCCTGTGGGCAGAAGTCAAGAAGCCTGCACGAGAAGCCAGACGGGCTTCCTGGTCCAGTGGCCATGACCATTTCAGACCCATCCACTGCTCCGGGCGTCCAGGCTGCTCCCAGCTACACTGAGAACCACTGGGCTAGCATGGAGGGGCCCCTTGTCTGTTCAGAGAGACCCACCCACCACAGCCTCAGCAAATTCCGGCCATGTTGGAATTATTACCGTCTGTGTTGGAATCATTTTCAAGTGCTTATTTCCAACATTAAAAGAAATATTTTTGGTGTATCAGGATTAAAAATAAAATCATACCTTTTGATTTGAAATCAAACTGTCTGGTTTCTTTCGTCACGTGTTCTGGGTGGTCTGATGGAGACATGCAACGGAGTGGACTGCTCGGAATCCTCAAGCGGTGCGGATTTCCCGTGCTCATGGTGTGGCCCCACCTTGCTGCACACCCCATGCAGCAGCAAGCCTTTCCTGGGTGTCACCATCTGGAGCCCCACAGGCACTGCAGCACTGTCCCGATGGCTGATGGTTCAAACCCCAGAACCTGACGCGTGGGTTCCCACAGCCAAGCGATGTCTCTGCATCATCATACTCTTTGGATGGGAATGTTTACTCCCTCGGGATAAAATGGGGGATCTATACTGCACACGAAGTGTTTTTATCAACTTCAAAAAAGTGAGAGGAGGGGAACTAAGCTTTCGCAAGCTCTTGTGTTTTGGTTCTGAAGTCCCAGAAACGTACAAGTGACTGCCCATTGTGTGGCTTCTGGTGCATGTCTCCAGGGACAGCTCAGGTCTGAATAAAGCATGTAAGCACTTACATCACACTCTAACTAACAAAGGCCTTGGCCTTACGGAGCTCCAAGGCCGAGAAGTATGTGAAGTGATGTGATTGAGAAGTAAAACGAATGTTTAAATTTTAAAAACATGAGGGTAAAAGACATGGCTTCAATCTCCCTCCCCCAGAAAGACTCCACTCGCTTCGAACTCACTTACTACCTTCTATTTCAGACACCTCTGCCTAAAAGCATTCTGGGAGAGCCAAGTGAGCAAGGCTTCCACTGTGTGCGTGCGTGTGTGCATGTGCGTGTGTGTGTGTGTGTGTGTGTGTGTGGTATACCCTTTAGCCCCCCGAAATGACAGCTCAGACTTACACGTGATGGTAACATGTCACTAATCGAGGGGTGCTCTGAGACAAGCACGGATGGACCCCACTACAGATCCGAAGAGGCCACTGTCTGCCATCATTCAGTTTTGCTCCTGTGCTGTCGTTTGGATACGAGTATCCCCCAAAGGCCAGTGCTTCCCAGCCCGTGGCGCTGCTGGGAGGGGGTGGAACCGTCAAGGGGCGTGGCCTAATGGCAGTCCTTAGGTCCCTGGGGTTGTCCTTGGGGACTGCGGGAGCCTGGCCCCTTCCTGTCTGGCTCCCTCGTCTGGGGTGAATGTTTGTGCCTCTCCTTAAGCTCCTGCTGCCTCAGCACACATCCAGAGCAATGGCACCAACCAGCCATGGACCGCTCCCTCCCAAACGCAGCCCAAGTAAACCTTTGTCTTTATAAGTTGGTCATCTCAGGTATTTGCTATGGTGGCAGAAAGCGGACTAACACACCTTTTATAGCTTTGTATCCTTTTTTATATCTTCTGCCTTTCCTTGTTTTTCATCTGCTAGTTGAAGGGAGGCACCTTGGGGATGTGGCTTCGTTTATGTATTTGTATGAAAAGGATCGTACACATCCGCACTACAGAAGCCCTGTGGCAGCCGTGGGGTTCAGCACAGTGAGCCCCCCTCCCTGCTGGATGCTGTAATCTTTGGTGTGTTCAGCCCCCCATGGTGGAAACCGTGTGCTACCCTCTGGGCTTCACACACGGCTTTCTTTTCTATCGACTACACTAATTCCTTTCATACTACAGGGAAAATCTGTCGCTCTGGGTGTTTCTCTGCTGTTTTATTTATGAAAACTCCAGTGAGCATTTCTTAAAGCAGCCAGTATCTACGAAAGAAAGAAAACAGTGTTCACGATGCCTGCACTGCTCAGAGTTACTATAAAACACCAGAGCATTTTTGCAAACGAGCACTTCCTCTCCAAATTAGAAGTGGCTCTAATTTCAACTGAGTTTAGAATAATAAAATTGATAGAGCATAAATAAACCCATTGAACTTCCAAACCAACTTAGGCTCAGGTAACCCGACTTTCCCTGGGAGCCACCAGCCTACAGAGGGAACTTTGAGCTGGGTTTAGGGCTCCTGCTACTGCACCGCCAGAGCTATGGGCAAGTCTTTGCGTCTGTTTCTGGACATGGCCAGCAGAGAGGCCAGGCTCCGTAGCTGCACTCAACTGGGCCCTAAAATCCCTCTGCTCCCAGTGGGCAGGGGTCCCCCACCTCTCAGGCTCTGCAGTGGCACAACGGCCCCTCCCTGGGGCAGGTGCTCTGTGAAAAGGCTGGCCGAGCTCTACTCAGGAGCCTGACTCACATCCGGGCCAGGGACAGGCTGGGGGTCTCTCCCCTGCCTGGTATGGGACAAGGTTTTTCCAGGTAGATGGACGTCCATGGCCACCACACCAGTCCCCAGGCTGCCCCGGCCGTATCTGAGACCAGCAGGGGTTGAGTTCCTTTTCTGGAAGCCCTGGCTGTCCTGCAGTCTCCCCTCACCTGCCCTGATTGTAGGTCCCGACATCTCTGAGAACCACAGTTCGCCTCAAGCACCCAGTAACCTACGCTGAGAAATCAGGACTCTGGCTCCAGGCGGCCCAGCACGCTAGGGCCAAGCTCTGCCTGGCTCCACCAAGCTCCAGCCCTTGCTTCAGAGCAACCAGCCCTGCCAGCCATGCAGACCCAGGGGAGCTTTTTACAACACTAGCGAAGATCGGAGAGGGCTCCTTTGGGGAGGTGTTCGGAGGCATTGACAATCAGACTCAGCAAGTGGTCGCCCTAACAATTCCTGGCCCAGAAGAAGCTGAAGATGAGCTAGGGGACGTCCAGCAGATTCCTAATGTGGAGTCAGCATGACAGTCGCTCCTACCTGAAGGACATAAAATCGGGGATAAAAATGGAATATCTTGGTGGTGGCTCCACGCTGGATGTATTAGAATGTGGTCCTATAGATGAAACTCAGACTGCAACCATATTAAAAGAAATACTGAAGGGGTTTATTATCTGCTGCATTCAGAGAAGAAACTCCAGGCAGGCGTTAACGAGGCCAACGCTCTGCTCTGTGAGCATGGAAGGTGATGCTGGCTGGCTGTGGAGTGGCCGACGGCTGACAGGTACCCAGATAAGAAGGCCCAGCCTGGAAGGCAGACATCTGGGCCCTGGCATCACAGTTACAGAACTGGCAAGAGGGGAGCCACTCCATTCGCATCTGCCAGGCGGTCTTCCTCCTCCTTCCAAGGACAAGCCCCCAGCACTGGAGGAAACTGTGACAGCCCCTCAGGGAGTTTGTGGAGGCACCAGGTCAGCATCTCTCCATCAGAGCCAAAGGTGCTCTTCCCTGGGGCCCTCTCGGTGGCTGAAGAGCCCCAAAGATTTTCCAGGGGACATTTTTCCATTTAACTTTGCCTCTTTGTCTGTAAGGACCTTGCCAGCAGGCTGCTCCTTCGCACTTGTGTTCCCGGATCGCACACACTTCAGTGTGAAAAGCCCGCTGTGAAAGAGCTCTGTTTCGGGGAGCCAGTGCTCTGGCCTCCCCATGAGCCCCTCTCTGAACCATCCCGTGCGGCCTGAGCCAGGGCCCGGCCTCCATTCAGCCTCTGTGTCCCTCATCTCCAGGTGATCTCTTAAGGTCAACATGACCCAACTTTTCCCAGCCGAGAGGATCCAGGTGTCTCTCCCAATTCCTCCCAGAAATGGCACTGGCTGGAGAGGGAGGCTGGACATCAGGCCCCGGCTGCTTTCTTTGTTTGGCTCTTTGTAGCTGGTAGAGACTCAAAGAAAATTAAGTGGGGAATTTACAAAAGGTGAGCAAAGAAACAATCATTGAAGACCCACAAATCACCACCACCAACTTGACTTTTTCACGGTAGGCGGGCTGTGAAACATTTGATGGAAGTCATCAAAAAATGATCCAATTCTTCATTTACTGCCAGGGTGCTGCCTGGCTTTGGAATAAGTTGCATGAGGTAATCCCACAATTTCTCTCTCTTGTTTTGGTGATACCCTTGGAAGCTGTAGAGTAAGTAGCTTAGAGCACACACCCTGGAGTCAAACCAGGGTTAAACCTTCT